CCCACCTCACCATCCCTGTGTGTTGGGGGACTCTGTGTACAGAAAGTCTATCTAGAAAGAAAGAAATGGGTGGGGGAGGCTCTTTTTATTTCCATGAAGTATCAAAGCCACGTCAGGAATGGCCTCTGCTGCCCGCTCCGTGTGCCAGACAGCTCTTCATAAGACACCCACTCACTGTACTGACACGTCTGGGTCACTGAGGCCCTTGCGTCAATGTGGCCGTGAGCCACGGAGACTGTAGGCTGTGAACAGCCCTCAACACCTTCTCTTGCCAATCCTTCCATGAGAATACCCAAGAAGTCACATATGACTATGTCCATGAAAGACAAAAACAAAAACAAATGAAAGAATGGTCTAGTGACTTAATAAAGAATGGAATTAAAACAGGCCTAAATTCTGGCTTCTTTCCATATCTTAAAACGACCTTAAAATGTACACTAGGATATCTCCATCCTCTTTTGGTCTTAGCATAAAGTCCATCCTCTCTGTTAGCCTGAGACTGTATGAGATTCCCTTCTGGGCACTCAAGGGTAGAGGGGGCCAGCACACAGGCTCCTGGACACATGGGTCAGGCCCACAGCCTGGTTAACAGATAGATGGGCATGGCTTCTCCTGCAGGGGATGGAGTGCTGGGCAGGGAGTCATGCATTCATCCAAACTTAATGTGTGACCTTGAGCAGGTTGCTTGCCCTCTCTGAGTCTTTCCCTTGTCCTGTCAGAGTGCTGAGTTGCTACTTTTCAAGTGATGCTTTATGACGCCCCAGGATTGAGGTATCCTATTAAGAGTAGTAGAGGGATGAGATGCTGAGCTGAGCCCCCAGCCCCATGCAGCTACTTGCTTTCATCTGTTCTATGTATTGAGCTTCTGGGGAATTTTTCTTTTCTTTTCTTTTCTTTTCTTTTCTTTTCTTTTCTTTCCTTCCTTTCTTTCTTGATGGAGCCTTGCTCTGTCACTCAGGCTGGAGTGTGCTGTGATGTGATCTCAGCTCACTGCAGCCTCTACCTCACAGGTTCAAGTGATTCTCCTGCCTCAGCCTCCCGAGTAAGTAGGATTATAGGCACCTGCCACCACGCCCAGCTAATTTTTTGCATTTTTAGTAGAGACAGGGTTTCACAACATTGGCCAGGCTGGTCTTGAACTCCTGACCTCAGGTGATCCACTTGCCTCAGCCTCCCAACGTGCTGGGATTCCAGGCGTTTGAAATATCTTAGGTAAGAGGATCCCATGTTCTTCCCCAGGAGCTCCTGAGGGCCTCTGGCTTGGACTCAGGCCTGAGAAGAAGGCTGGGGGTTGCATGCCCTCTCTGAGCTGGCCATCTGCCCCTGTAGGTCTTACCAGTGCTCCTAGAGCCCCTGGTATGCCGCAGCCCTCCTCTGCAGTGCAGAGAAAGGAGAAGCAGATGGGGGTGGGGTGGGAGCAGGTAGAATAGTCCTGTGGCTGCACCTGCCCTAGAGGAGAGCAGGGGACTATGTGGGTCACAGGGCAGGCAGCCCTGGCAGCCCCCAGCCTCGCACTGGGAGAGGTGCACCTGTGGAGTGAGGTCAGGATGTGGTGGGTAACCCCGGAAATCCTGCCAGGGAGACCACCGGATGCTAAGCCCCTGTGCCAGCTCTTATTTTTCCTGAAACCAAGGGTCAGACCACAGGCAGCACTGAGCAAGTCCCTAGTCAATTGTGCCAGTACTGGGTACAGTCACGGCAGGAAAATCGTTGAGGCAAAAGAGCCATGACAAACTGTTCAGCCCAACCCTTTCCCCATCAGATTTGAGGACTCTTTGGCCCAGACAGAGGAAGGTACTTGCTCAAGCTTGCACAGTGAGTTAGCCAACCCTAGCCCCTGCTTTGGTAAATTTTTAGCTGCCATTTACCAAACATATCTCTGCTTTAGATATGACCCATAATTTCAACCTCAAAACAACCCCGTAGAGCATATACTTGTATCCCAAAGTAGTGGATTTGAAAATCGAGGCTCAGAGAAGTGAAGCAACTTGCCCAAGGACACACAGCCAGCAGGTTGGGAGCTGGAATCTGCACTCAGGCCTGCCTGCTTTGAAAATCTCTTCTTTAAGGCGCCCTCATTCTTTCCAACCTTTTGATTATAAAAGCAATTCATGCACCTGGGAGAAAATCTGGGTATTTTAGAAATAAGTAAGCAAAGAAGAAATTTAAATTCACGTATAAAATCATTACCCAGAGAGAGTCCTTGGAAACATTTTGGAAATTTCTCTTTAATATTTTTCCATATGTATGCATTTGAGTGGCATAGTTTTATGAAACGGAGATACTAAAAGCACAGCTAGTATTCCTTTTTGTTTCTTTGTTTTGTTCCACAGCAGTAACAGTTTTTTTTTGTTTGTTTGTTTTGTTTTTTTTGAGACAGAGTCTCACTCTGTCGCAGGTTGGAGTGCAGTGGCGTGATCTTGGCTCACTACAAGCTCCTCCTTCCAGGTTCATGCCATTCTCTTGCCTCAGCCTCCCAAGTAACTGGGACTACAGGTGCCCACCACAATGCCCGGCTCATTTGTTTTGTATTTTTAGAAGAGACGGGGTTTCACCGTGTTAGCCAGGATGGTCTTGATCTCCTGACCTCGTGATCTGCTCACCTCAGCCTCCTAAGTAACAGCCTTTTAAAAATAATGCTGTGAAAGGCTAGAAAACATTCCTTGCAATTCACTCCTGCCCTTTTGACCACAGCATGCCTCAACTAGCCTCTCTCTCTTGTTTCTTCTGCTCCAGCAGCACTTCTGCACCCTTCACCCCCACTGGAAACCCAGACCTGGGCTTCCAAACACTGCCAAGTGACATCCAAGAGATCTCTCAGGGCCTCCACTGTATTAAAGTTTCCCCCAAAGTTTATGCTTCCTAAGGTTTGCTTTGATGACTTTTATTTTACTGTATTGTATCGTATCGTATTGTATCGTATCGTATTGTATCGTATCGTATCGTATCGTATCGTATCGTATCGTACTGTATTGCATTGCATTGCATTTTTGAGATGGAGTTTCGCTCTTGTTCCCCAGGCTGGAGTACAATGGTCTGATCTCAGCTCACTGCCACCTCTGCCCACTGCATTCAAGTGATTCTCCTGCCTCGGTCTCCCGAGTAGCTGGGACTACAGGCATGTGCCAACATGTCTGGCTAATTTTTGTATTTTTAGTAGAGATGGGGTTTCTCCATGTTGGCCAGGCTGGTCTTGAACTCCTGACCTGACGTGATCTACCCGCCTCAGCCTCCCAAAGTGCTAGGATCGCAGGTGTGAGCCACCGCGCCCAGCCTGATGACTTTTAAAAATCACTTTTCTGTTGCCTTCTTGGGTTAGCCAGAGGACAGAAAAACAGGGCAGCACTGGTGGCCATTAGAACACAGGTTTTAGAGGCAGGCAGACCCGGCTGGAATCCCAGTTTCACCTCTTCCTAGCAGTATAACCTTGGACAAGTCACTTAACTGATCTCAGCTATAAACTGCGGTTGTTCTGAGCAACCCAGGACATACTGGCTGGACAGCGCTTAGCTTTGTGCCTGACAGAGGATGACCAATTGTGGGATGGGGGTGTTCTGGTTATCACTGTTGTTGTTGGCATTCACATATATGGTAGACAGTGAGGCTTCTCCACTTGCTGTACCGTGTTCCCATGCCTTAGAAGAAGGTCATATGAATGGGCTTATAGCTGTCACACTTTGCAGCAGAAATTTCTAAGGCCAAAGGGAAGGTAGCATCCCTAAGTACATTTTCAAATTAATTCTGTCACCAAGGGTTGAGTTCCTGGCTTTATGACCTGCCTTCCCTTGGTTGGACTTCCTCAATTTCTCTCCCCTTTGGGAGAGAAATAAAGGGGTTCGGGCTACCCTCCTTCCCAGCAGCAAGGCCAGGCATCAGAAGCACAAGATGGACCAGGTACACAGAACTGTCCTGGGACGCTGTCCCAGGAATGGAAGGTTCTGAGAAGCCTCCCCACCTGGATCTATAAGACAATGCAGAGCACACAATGAAAGGACCCAGATCTGCAAAACAAAAACCTATTAAGAGGATATGCTGCTGGCCGGCATATCCCACATTGTCCATGGCAATGCCATGCCAGTATGTGACCTCTCCATGCCATGCTTCTGCTCAAATGGCAGCCAGCCGCACACTGACCAGAGTTCCTTACACTGGAGAGACAGTGGCATGGTCCTGAGCAAAAGGTGTAGGTCCTGAAGTCAGGAGATGTAAGGTTTCCAGCTCCAGGGCAGTGGGCAGGTGACTAAACCCCGTTCTCACACTAACAAAGTAAAAGATTATCTGCCCTCGGGAATGCTTGTAAGATTAAACACAACGATATCTGCAAATTGCCTCCCAGAAGGTGGTTGTACACATTAACTGTCTTCCGTTGATTCTGAAGCACATAAAGACAAGAGTTGGGATTCTGTCTAACGGGACTTCATTTGAAAAATGCCAATGGTTGTTTTATTAATAATTTTTAAAAACCATTGAGTCTTGATTGCTACAATTAAATGGGGTTATAAGGCTCGCTCTTTGGAGATCATCTTTTTTCACTCATCTCATTTTTCAGAAGAGGAAACCAAGGTCCAAGTTCACACAAAGGAAATAGCATTGGTCCAAAGACCGAAGGGAAAATAAGGTAATAGCAGTTATGATTCTATGACCCAGAAACCTAAGAGTTATACCACCAAGGAAAGGGAGAAAGAAATCAAGAATTTGTAGAGCCAGTGTTAATTAACTCATTTCTCTTTTGCCCTTTTCTATTGTTCTTAGAAGCAATTATGTCTCCGGTACCCTCTCTCCCACCTTCAGCCACTGCATAAAACTGTCACGGATTAAATCAAATTGTTCAGCCATTTCATTAGAGAGACTCCAGCTCTCATTCTCTGGGGGCATTTTCACTCTTCTCAAATAAAAGCCTCTTTCAGATAAGTTAACTCCTTCTTGAAGACTGTAGAAAGCCACTGAGCAGACCACTAAAGGGCTGTTGAGACCTGATGGTTTTTTTGGTAGTCATACAGCCCTGACACAGCCCCTTCTTTCACGGAGACTGAACTCTGACTGGCAAGACAGAACAGGAGTGAGTGCAAGCAACAGGAGAGAAGAGTGTTAAGGTAGAAGAACCCAGGCCTCCAGGACTGACTCAAACTTTCTCATCTTGTGACCCTGGGTACGTTTCTTTTCCTGGATGAACTTCATTTCTCCAATCTCAAAAATGCAAGTTTAATTTTTTTTTTTTTCCTGTAGTGGATTGCAGGACTCCCTCCAAAATAGCACACAAATGCTTGAGAAGAATGATAGAGCTGTTGGGAAGAGAGAGGATGTTGGAATTCTCTTTGATGGATAGCAAAGTCTTGTTCTGACTTGTTTTCTGGAATGGTTGACATAAAGGAGGGGAGAGATCAGACATTGTGGTGGGAACCTGCTGCTTAGAAGCAGCTTGGGGGAGGGGACAGAGGGGAGGGAAGGCTGGCCAGGCTGGGGGCACCCTGTCATCTGGAGGGGTGGAACCTATGGGGGCAGGGTTTCTGGGCACAATCACTAGGTGTTGAATGACACTCGATGAGTCAGGCTGAAAGGACAGAAAGGCATTGTTGGGACAGTTTGCTGTGTCTGGGGACACCGGAGATGGTGGCAAATCGGCGAGGCCAGCATACATGTGGTTTCAGAGTTAGTTCTGCATGTTGAGAACTTTCCCCAGAAGCCCGAAGGCCTCGGTGATGATAAACAAAGAGTCTGAGGAACCAAGGCAGCAGGCACGTTTCAGGAGGCCCAAGGAGCAGTACAGAGGCAGGCATGTGCAGGACAGCCTGTGCGGGACAGCCAGTGTGTGTCACACGTGTGTTTCCCAAGGCCTGTGCGGAGCAGCCTGTGCATGTCACACGCATGCTTCTGAGGCCTGTGCGGGACAGCCTGTGCATGTCACATGTGCTTCATGAGGTCTGTGTGGGACAGCCTGTGTGTGTCACATGCATGCTTCCTGAGGCCTGTGCAAAGCAGCCTGTGAATGTCACACATGTGCTTCCCGAGGCCTGTGTAGGACAGCCTCTGCATGTCACACGCATGCTTCCCGAGGCCTGTGTAGGACAGCCTCTGCATGTCACACGCATGCTTCCCGAGGCCTGTGCGGGGCAGCCTGTGTGGCTACAATCCCCTCAGGGCCAGGGAGGCTGCCTGGTTTGCCTCTTCCCTCTTGCCTGACTTGGGCCTCAGAGGCAGCACACTCCCACTATGTGGGTGGGATCCTGACTTCCTCAAGTCTCTGGCCCAGGGCCCAGCACCGGGTAGATGCCCAGGAAGTGTCTGCTGAACTGCGGGGAATGTGGGTTGGAGTCACACCACCTGTTGTGTTTCTGTAAGCATTTTGGGGAAGCACATTTCCTGGGTACCTTCGCCAGGCTCAGGGATGGAGACACCGTCAACGTATCCCTGCCCTCCTGGACTCCAGGTGTTGCTGTTAGAACCTGCCCAGCTGCTAGAAGGTTCCTACAAGGTAGAGGCCCTGGGATTTTAAGTGTGGATGTTTTTCTGGTTTGTGAGGATGGTAGGGGCAAGAGTGGAGAAAGAAGGGCCCGATCCTTAAATTTGCAAGGGCATCCTCTTTTCTAGTCACAAAGATCAATAGGATCCAAAAAGGATGGGATTTGCACTTCACTTTAAACATGCTGTCTGTTCTAGCCAACCCTTCTGTGGTGCACTATGAGTTTATAGCTTTTGCAGGCCTTGTCATTGTCTTGGGAATATCACTAAGCATTAGCTTGAGTAGTAAGTGACAAGTTATTCATGTAAATGTCTAAGATACATGGACTTTTAAACAACTCTCATTTTGGTGTTCCTTGTTTCTTAATATAGTGGGAGTCTCAGCTCACACCGCCCCTTCCCTTAAATCAGGGAGCTGTGCAGACCTCCCTCAGCCTGGGCAGGGCCTTCATCTGAGAGTGTACTTCTTTCCAGAACCTGTACACATAGGGCATGGAGACAGGATTCAAGGCCAGGGTGGGAGTTGGACGGGCTGACTTTTGTGCCCTTCATAAGGTTCGATCCGGAGCTGCAGACACAGGTAGGTGGGAGATTAGTTTCCATTTGGGCTAGAGGCCGACGGGGCGACCCTGTTCCATCTCTTCTCTTTGACCCCACAAAGCAGAGAGAGCTCTGTTTATGGATGTGGGCTTCCTCTCCGTGCTTCTACCATCCAGAGGGAATGTGGCTTCCCTAAAACCCTATTCTCTGATAATCTATGTCTCTTTCCAAAATAGTCGTATGAAGGTCTAGACTTGGAACTTTTATCATTAAGGACAATCAGTAAACAGAGTAATAACTAACATGTACTCTATGCCAGGCCATGTTCAAAGTGGTTCCCATGCTTTATCTCAGTTAATTTTGTAACCACAACCCAACACTGTTCGTTCGATTAGTGTCCTCCCAAATGATTAGAAAAAGGTTAATGACTTGGCCAGGCACAGAGGCTCATGCCTGTAATCCCACCACATTGGGAGGCCAAGGCAGGTAGATCACCCGAGGTCAGGAATTCAAGATCAGCCTGGCAACATGGTGAAACCCTGTCTCTACTAAAAATACAAAAATTAGCTGGGTGTGGTGCGTGTGCTTGTAATCCCAGCTACTTGGGAGGCTGAGGCAGGAGATTCGCTTGAACCCGGGAGGCAGAGTTGCAGTCAGCCAAGATCATGCCATTGCACTCCAGCCTAGGCGACAGAGTGAGACTGCGTTTCAAAAAAACAAAAACAGAAAAGGTTAATGACTTGCCCGTAGTCATCTAGCTTATAAGTACACAGCGAGAATTTAAGCCTGGGTGGTTACCTTGGAAACTGTTATGGAGCAACCCAGAGATTTAGCATCAGTGGTTCAAATCTCAGCTCAACAATTACTTGCCATGTGACCTCACACGAGTCACTTACCCCCTCTGAGACTCAGTTTCCCTCACTGCACAATAGGCTTAAGCATGATGCAAGGACTTTACAATGATCAAACGTAACAGTCGATGTGAAAGGGCTTCAGCAGCATGCAGCCGGTACGCAGAATTGTTAGGAAGTTTTCCCCTTTCATCCTTTGTTAAAGCATGCTGACAAACTCAAACGGATGACAAAAAGTAGCAGCAGAAAGTACCTTGTCTTCATGCCTTTGGTTGTACAGACACACAGCTCTGTACTCTGAATTCCTGGTGCACAGAGTTGATGGTGAGGGCCCCTGAGTGGAGATACTTTCTGGGCCACCTGAAATGCTGCTTGGTTTCTCACACAAACCCTGCTGTGGCTGCTTACCATCCTCAGCGAGGGTGCGAAGGAATGGAAACTTTTGCCACCAACAGCATTTGCTAGCAACTTCCCTTTCTGTGGTTTTTCTGTCATTCCCTTGATAAAAGAACTTGAACTGCGCAAAAGTAACCAATCTTCACCAATCTCGTCTTCACATATAAACAGCCGCCTTTCAAGAAGCAAGCTGCCAGAAAAATGATGCATGATGCTCTCTAAACTGGGTCATTCTCTACTTGGAGGGCTCAGGGCACGGTTGACTTTCCCCGTCTGTCTCCTATACCGTAGGCTCTGGGCATCACCAGCGGCCCCAGGGAAAAAGAAAGAAATGGGAAACAGCATGAAATCCGCCCCTGCACCTGCCGAGAGGCCCCTGCCCAACCCAGAGGGTAAGTCTGGCTTCTTTGGTGAGATGCTTAAGTCTGTGCTACAAGAGCCTGTGGTAAAGACTGGGCATTGGTGGATGCTGATAACTACTTAAATGGGGCAACGGGTACTGAAGGGCTCATTATATCCGTCTCTCTAGTTTTGTTTGTGGTTCAAATATTTCATATTTAAAAGATGAAAAGGATTGGATGCTTGGCACACCTGAAGGATGTCAAATCTTTGGCATTTTGAGATGGATCTCCAAGATCAGCTGGTTTAATCCCTTTATTTTCCAGGTAGGGAAACTGAGCCTCACAAAGGGAATGGGATCCACATCATTGGGCATTTGCTGATAAATATCCAATTCAGGCTCATCTGATTCTGAAATCTAGACTCCTGTTTACCAAACTCTGGCAGCCCATAATATAATATCATCCATATAGTTAGCCCCGCAAGAGCTGGATCTGTGTTACTTTTCTAAGCTAGGCACCGTCGGGACAAAGGAATCCTATGTCCCATTGGTGGGACTGCAAGGTAACAGGCATTCTCAGGGGAAGAGCCTAATATTGCAGGTCAATCAGTGATGGCAAAAGTCAGCTTTTTGGAGAGATGTCAGGTTTGGCTAGATTCTCAAAGCTACAAAGAGTCCCTCAGCAACTGGTCAGAGGCCTGGGAGGGAACACCAGTGAACGATGGGCAAAGGCTGAACATCAAATCCACCATGCTCTGGGCTCAGCTATGCTGGCCCCTTCTAATGGCCTGACCTTTATTTCCTCTGATTCCTAGTCCATAATTCTCATCTTCTGGGGTCTTGGGAAAGGGACGGTTAGGAAGGCTGGGGGGCACCTTGGACACTTCTACTTCTCACCTTACATGGTAGCATTTGGGGTCTGGTGTCCCATCTCCTAGCAGGGGTGACCACACATGGTTCCCAGCAGCCCCTGCAGCACTGCACTGGGAGGAGTTCACTGGCACAGATGGCTGCCCTGTCTGCCCAGCTTGACAGGGGAGTGGACTGTGCCAGGTTCCTGCGCTGCCTCCAGGTACTATGCATTTCATGACTTCTGTGGCTCACTCACAAAGGAACCTTCTCACCGCTTCCAAAATGGACAGGCCCAGCTCGTGTGGTCTAATGGCCTCAGATGCCCCCAAGCCGGCATGCCAAGACCCAGCTACCCCACACCCCTTTCAAGTCAGATGCAGAACAATACTAGTGGCTCTTATTTATCTGGTGAAGTAACTCCCCTTCCCAAGCCGAAAGGAAGAGGGATAAACAAAAAGAATATTCCCCAGGACCGAGGAGGTGGAACCAGATTACAAGGTGGAACAGAGCATGTGCCCTCAGGGCCCTGCGGACAGCAGCCCTCTACCTCCCGTGCCACACTCAGAACAGTGTGCAACATGCAGGGCGGCTAAGCTGCTGCTGCTGCTGCTGTCGGGACAATGCCGGGCTCTTTCTCACCCTCTCCAAACTGACTTTGGTCACAGCCTCCTCCTCTGGTCATAACCACCGCTAGAAAACTGACACCACAGGGCCCTGGGACCAGGCAGGCTGGGGACGCACCCACCCACCGAACCCATCTTAGGTCGCCACCTCTCAGCCTGGGGCAGAGGGGCAGCATGCTTGAGCGAACCTCATGAAAACAGCCTCCAAGATTTGCTCATTTGCCTTCAACTTTTCAATGCAAATTGTCATGAAATAAGTTTATTTTTTTCCATTATGTGGGTGGGAGGTCACCTCTAGAACAGAGATAGAGAGAGGGGTCTCCCCACCCCTCCACCCCCTGGTGAAGAGAATTCCCCCGGTCATACCCCATTTGTGATCCAGGCAACCACATCAAGCGCTGGTGGGCTGCTTTTCCAACCCCCAGCCTTGAAACGTTCCCCCGATCATTGGTCCTAACGTTATTTCCTCTTTCTCTTGTACCTAACTTGAGTGAGGGAGGGGAAGGCGGTGCAGTGATGCTGTATTAAGTAGTCCCCATCTGCCTCATGCACAGGGTCAGGGTTTTTATGGAGTGAGCTCCTACTCAGCTAATGCTCCTGTGGTTGCTCATCCGGTTACCCTCAAATGAGTAACCTAGGAGACGGTGCAGGTCTCGCTCGCTGCTTTAGGCCAATGTGCCATTAGAGCCAGCTCTCAGTTAGCTTCAGCGTCAGAGAGTTAAAGGCACCACAGACCCTGGCCCTGCACAGAAGTCACACAGAGGCCAGCCTGGACACTTTCAGACAACCATGTTTTCTGGCCTTTTGGGAGATCATTCTTCTCCCAAGCCAGGACTATGAACGCCTTGGAATATGGCTTTGCCTATTTGTCTTTTTTTTTTTTTTTTTTTTTTTTCCTAAACTAAGCTTTTCAGAACATTTCTGATCAGTTGATTTCTCAGGAACTAATGTCATAAAACCGACAAAAGGAAGCAGGACTAGAGGGAAACAGAACAAGTTTCAGAGGCAGAAGGCCCTCACTGAACTTCCAGTAATGGTCTGTGGAAGCTGTGTGACTTTAGGTGAGTCACTCGGCCCGCCCCAGAGATCTGGAACAAGTCCCTCCTCAAAGCAACAGCATGATGCAGTGCAGGCACCAGCAAAGAAGGGTGTGGAAACTTCTAAAAACTCCATTTAGTGTTACCTGACTGTACCAGGCTATATCTAAATGGCCATTCCCCAAAAGTTTTAAAGTGGTGAAACTGGTAGTTCTGTAACTTTGAAATCATCCCAAAATGTTCATTTTCTCTAAAATTCTATGCATGCTTCTGTACCAGACATGGGCAGTACAGGATTTTTTAATACAACCTAGGGAAGTCCCGCTGTGGTCAGGAAATGGCATATTTCCACCTTAAAATGAGCATTCTGTCTCTCTGCTGTGATCTTTTTCCCCTCTTTGTTCTTTCTCTTCTTATCACCCTGACCTGAAGAGGCACCAACAGAGGCAGCAGCACAGACCCCTTTCTGCCCGTGCAAGGGTAGAAATAATGCTGTTTACATAGTTGCCCAGTGGAGAGAAGGGGGCGGGTGGGACTCGGGGAAGGAAGAAGGAGGTAGGGACCTCTCAAACCCAGCTTGCAGCTTCTCAGCAAGTGGTCCTCATACCACCTGCATCAGAATCCCCTGGGAAGTAGTTGCAATGCAGATTCCTGGCTCCCCCCCAGGCCTACTAATCAGAACCTGGGGATGGTGGGAGGTAGCCGCCAGCTGAATTTCCTACGAGTCCCTGGGGACCCTGTAATCCCTTAAGCTTGCAGACCACAGACCAGCTTTTAGTACTGCCCCTGCACTGACACACAACGAGAGATGAGAAAGAGTTTATCTCCTTAGTCTCTCTGTCCTCCTTTCTAAAATGGGAATGATTAGAGTCGCTTGGTGCTCACCGCCTCCAGACACAGTGCCCAGTGCTATCACAGACTCGATTCTCACAGCCCCGCGAGGCTTCTGCCTATTATCATCTCTGTTTTGCAGTTGGAGAATCTGAGGTACAAGAAGCTTAAATGACTTGCCTGAGGCCATACAGCTCAGACGAGACAGCTGGAATTCAAAGCCAGGTGGTCTGACTCCAAGGTCCATCTCCCCACCTCAGTGTGTGCCTGAAAAGGACCGGGTTTCAAGAAGCCCACATGTTCTGGGAGAGGATAGGCTTGCTCTCAAGTGACTGAGAATGTGCCTGGCCACCAGATTTAGTGACACAGATGCTCAAGTACCCTAGCAAGGGGTCCCACAGACAGTGAATCTGTGTCAAATCTTGGACCAGATCCCTTTTTTCTATTTGCGTCTAACCTCGCTGCTGATACATGAGATGGCCTTAGCCGGAACATGATCATTCAACTTTTACATCATTGTACATTGATGAACGTCATAAAATATATAACTAGACTGAGAAATCCATGATGTCACATTGCTTAGAATAGCACTCAAGCTTTTTTTAAGTAAATTAATTTTTAAAAAGGCATTATCAAGTAACTAGTGCTGTCGACTATGACAAAGGAGAGCTGAGTGGTCCAGACACAGCCACGCCCTGCCCTGCCCAGGGAGACCTGGTTTTGAAACCTGGCACTCAACTTCCTGGCTGTGTGCTCTTGAGCGGTCTTTGGACCTCACGGTGCCTCTATTTCCTCATACTCAAAATAAGGGAGTTTCAATCTATCAACCTCACAGGGAGGCGTGAGGACTTCAGGGGTAACCTGGGTACCACCACGGCCCAGTGCCTGGTTCCCCTCAGAGCTGTGCTCCCTGCTGCTGCTGCTGCTGGTGATGACGAGGAGGGGGAGGAAGGGGATGGTGGTATGAAAACAATGGAAGTCTGAGAAGCCCTGGGTGCCCAAGCAAAGCACATTCTGAGTCTATGCAGTCCAAAATATTCATTTTAACTATTTCTTGCTTCTGTTCTATGCTAGCCCTGCCTATATCCCTCTAGCATCTAAGAGAGTTGAGACTGACCCTGAAAAGCCTCCAGGTCTGTGCAGTTCCAATCTGTCCCCACTAACATATGGAAAAACCAAGGCATGGGCAGAAAAGAGCTTTGAGGGTTACTTGGTCTCAAACAGAGCCGTTTACATATGACTAAGAGGGCTCACAAGCCTGGTTCACCGTGACCCGCAGAACTTGGTAGACTTTCTACCCGGCCCAGCTCTGTGTGATTGGGTAGTTGCATGTATAATCCTGTGTGTGTGTGTGTGTGGCCTGAAGAAGACACTAAAAGTCAGGCCTGCTTTGACCCCTCAAGAGACCATGAGTTTAGGCATGACTCCAGGGCATGCAAAACAAGAGGCTACAATTCCTGGGCTGTACAGCTCCCTACCCACCAGCTGCCCTGAGCTGCTCATGCTAACCCTGAAGACTCAGCTGGAGTCTGCCTTTGTCTCCCCTGTTAAGGGTCAAGTGTGGGCTGAGGAAAGCTTGGAGATTAAGTGACAAGGAGAGCTGTGTGGCTCTGTGAAGGACCCCGGGCTTCGAAATCTTCATGCTTTTCCCTAGATATGTGACTAAAACTCTCCCAGCTTTGGCTTCTTCACCCTTAAATGATCACGTATTTTCTGTAGGGCTGGGCAGGGCACTGGAAGTGACAAATGACTAGTTTTACTAGACAGTTACAAGTGGGAGTGACTGAGAATGTTCTTAGTATTTAAAAAGAAATGGTCATGCAGCACCAAGGAACGACAATTTACAAAAGGGTCTCTCCTCTCTTGACTAAGTCCCGTAAGGCCTGCCTGGGTCCCTCCCCTTTGTGAATTCGTTTCCTGTTTTATGCTTTTGTACATTTTGTTCAACCTGACATTCTTAAGTTGAGCTATCAGCAAATATTTGGTCCTTTGAATTTCACCTTCTGTTCTCACCAAGTGGAGTTCATTTTTAGAGAGTAAGCAATTTTCAAGTTTACACTACTAGTTTGCAAATTTTAGAAAGTTATTGGCTAACACTGGTCTCGAGTTGTGGTCTGGTGACCCTGCTCTCCATGAAAATAATATTACCTTCCACTTACTAAGGCAGGCCCTGATATGCAATACATCATGAATCCTTCACTCAATCCTATGAGGCATATTTTGGCATTTTCCCTTTTTATTCATGAAGAAATCAAGCTCAGATTAGTTAAAAATAAATCTCCCCCCAAATTGCACCACTATGTAGTGGGGGAGGCGGTATGTTAGCCAGTTCTGATTGATTTCAAAGCCCCGTTTTCTCTCCCCAAAATTCTCTCTGGGTTTCTTCTTTCATGCGCAGTGCTTATGTCTTCATTTAATTTGTTTCCTTATGTTAGGTCTGCAATAATTCCACTGACTTCCTCAGCTGTCCTCTTCTCTGCCTCACTCAGTTATCTCTGCTTGAATTCAAACGCTGAGCTCTCCATCAAGCCAAGGAGTTCTGGGAGTAGATGATAATATGTTTCACCTTTACCAACAAACTTAAATTTCCTACATTGCATTTATTTTTCTGTAGCAACCAAAGCTCAGGGAAGACTTTGAAGGGATCCTGGCACCAGGCCTTGCTTAGAATGGCCACCCTGCCCCACAGAAGTACAAGTCAAACTGTAATACCTTCCCAGTGACTCTGTCCCGTTTGGCTAATGGTCATGATAAAGAGAGGTGAAATCTCTTGCAAAGGATCAGGCACAGGTTATCTGACCCTTAAGCAAGAGCCCAGATGCAAAGTTTCCTCAGTGATGTTTAAGTGCCATAGCTATCAAAACATCACTATTACGGAAATTCCACAGGAAACTTAACTTTGTTATTGTGAAATTGAAACTCTCCAACCCTTTAAGCCTGCCTTTCCCTCATTGGAACGGTGGTTTTTATAATGGGATTTTGCTTTTGTTTTTGTTTCTGTTGGTTTTTGTTTTTAATGTTAGGAAAGACAATTGTTCTGTTCCACAGTCTTAATCTTGAATTTGACATTAAACCTCAAACCCCTCTGTAGACACACCATCTACCTCAAGGTTCTATTGTTGTCACAGAGGACACACTCTGTGCCTCTCCATTTCAACATGTTTTTCACAAGGGGCTGGTTCCACAATGGCCACCTACCCAGCTGCCTCCCACAAATCAGGTTTCCTTCTGCCTGGATCTGCTTTAAAACTGCAGCTTGACAGCTGTATTTAAGGGACACTGCAGCACAGGGACCACTCTGCACATTCAGTAAGACTGCTTTGAGCATCCTTTATAAAACAGGTGTGGCACAGGCTACAGACACAGAAGACACCGGTATTCTGCCCTCCTGGAACTCACAGCCAGGGGTGGGGAGAGATGGGCATTCCCCTGACAGTCACACAAATGGGAAAATGCAACCTGGGGTAACCGCTTCAGAGGAAAATCTTAGGGGCCAAGAGGAAGAATTAGTACAGCAGGAAGGCTGGGCCTCCTCAGGAGCCTCTGCAGAGGTGAGTTTAGAGTTAACACAGGTGGGAGGGGTGAGGGAAGGAAGAGCAGGGTGTGTTCCAGGCAGAGGGAACAGCCTGTGCGGAGGCTCTGAGAACCAGGGCACCTGGCAAGTTGGAGAAAGGCCTATCACATGTAGCCGAGGCAGCAGAGTACCACAGTAATATACAGCCCTTTCATATGTGGCGGCCATTAGTCCAGGAAGATGGATTTCCATCTTGAAGGTGCTTTTCAACCTCTCATTTTCTAGACTAGGAAACCCAGGCCCAAGAGAAGAAGGAGGCGTTCCACTCAGTGAGTGGCAAAGTCAGACTCAGCTTCTTCTGGGCAGATTTGCCAGGAAGTCAAACAAATCATATGCCTGAGACCCCCTTGTTGGTACAGCACCTTCCTGGGATCTGTCCCTCATTTTGTACTTGCAATTGTGTATTTTTTCTCAAAGAGGACTGCCAAATTTGCATAAACTTTATGCCCCACTGAACGTGAACTTGCCCTTTGTGAGACCTTGGGACTTCTGGCTTCAAACTTAACACAACTGTAACGCTGCCCCTACTTACTGGGGTGAAGTCAAAGCGACACAGGGAAGAATCCCTTTTTTGAATTCAGCAAAGCAGAATGTGAGGGAGCTGCCCCCACAGGCTTGGGGAAGATCTGCAGCAGGACAGGCCAGTGGTCTGGCTGGGCCGGCCCTTTTACATCCTGACATAACTGTTTCTCAAAAGCCCTGATCCCTTTCCAAGACTTAGAAAGCCACTAAATAACACTCTTGGTTTCTGTCTCACATCCAGAAACTCTTGCTTTTACATGGCTTATTGTCAGCGACTCAGCTTCCCCAAATGAACAATACATTCGACTGCACTGTTCCACCATGATCACTGGCTTCTAATTCATTTATCAATTGATAAGCATAACCTTCACTCAAAACCTCACTCATCTTTCTCACTGATTCTACTCTTTAATCTCCCTTTAGACTTAGTCTGCCCGAGAGGCTTATGACTTAGAGGCTGCAAGACATATGAGTTGTAAGAGGCAGGATCTGGGGTTATGTGGATCCTAGGAAGTGGCTTGTTTGGGCCACGGAGCCCACAAGCCTGAGTGCTGGGATTTCTCCAGATCTTCTTGGGGTGAGCGAACCAGGGAACAGTTCCTCCCATGACTATTTATGTATCCTGTAGAACGTGAGCTCCATGAGAGCAGCAAGAATGGGCTTGCTTTGCTCACCTATGCTGACTCACGACAGGTGCTCAGTAAGTAGCTGCCGAATGAATGAACAGATGATGTTACCCAGAATTTTAAGTTCAAAGTCCCAGCCAGCGATGAAAGTCACAGCAAATAATAACTGCATTTGCTGATATGGAAGACATCTTATTATTTCCCCCCAAAATGTATTCAAATATTACCCTGCATCTAATGCATCTGAATTACGTCAGATCACTAAGGATAGAAGCAGATGTATCACTTAGTGTCAAAAAGCAAAATCACTGTCTCTCCTCTACGGTCAGGAGCCAGACAGCCCTCTTTCCTTCTCAAAACTTCATCAGAATTCCTTTCAATACACTATCAGGAAAAGTACTAAATTTTTCTTCCACCACCTCCACCCTCAACAAATGTCCCTATTAAATAAATGCCCAGCGTGGGGCCTTATGTTCTGCAAGAAATAAGTATTTTCTTTAACCTCAGAGTTACCACCTCATGGTCCTAATGTGTCCTCAGAACTCATTTTTCCTGACACCCTTTCCCCGAAAATGTCACAGATATAACAACTCTGGGTCTCAGAGTGGACACCCGAGGCTTTGGTAATGAGAAGGGGTGTTGTTATAGCAACTTAGGGGAATGTATGTGGTGTAACATACTCTCATCTCCTCTTCTAAGGACCCTGGAATGAGGTATTGTTAGTCCCATTTTAAAGACGGAGAGAGTGAGGCTAGTAGACTCAGAACAGGGCCTGAAACCAGCCCCTGTGACTCATCTCACAGCCTCTGGATTCCATTTCTCAGACGGGAACATCAGGGCCAAGGAAGGCTTAAGAATAGGAGTATGTCACTGATCCTCAGGGCTTGTACGCACACCCTGCAGAGCCATGTCTGAAGAGAGGACCTTGCTGTAAATTGGTGGTTCAAAACAAGAAAGGTATCTCCTGCTGGAAAATCTCATCTTCATACCCTCCCTCCCAAGGCTACCTTTAAGCTCCTTGTGAATAAAAAGCAACCTGCCCCTTTGCCTTTGTTTCCCCAGGACTTGATAGCGACTTCCTTGCCGTGCTGAGTGACTACCCATCTCCTGACATCAGTCCCCCGATATTCCGCCGAGGGGAGAAACTGCGTGTGATTTCTGAGTGAGTCAGCTCTCCAAAACTTGTGCAATCTTCAAAATAGGATAAACTTGGTTTGGGTGAAAAGTATTTGATTTTTAGCTAGACTGGTGTAGGTCCACATGAGTCCTGGTCCCATTACGAGGTGAGAAATTTGACCCATACTGCAACCCTCCTCTTTAATGTGGCCAGTGCTCTAGAACCTTCCACAGCTCTCCACTGCCTGGTAGATCAAATTTAAATTCCTTAACTTGACTTTTGAGATCTTTTATGATCCAACCTCTTCTCATATTCTTCTTATCTCCCACCACATGTGCACTGTTGATGCTATGTAGGAATGAAGACTGGGAAGGCAGCCCCGGGGCCTGGAAATCCTTTGGATGAGAAATATAAAAGATTTGCCTTCTCTCCTCTTACCTCTGCAGTCTGATTCAATATGGGCTATAGAACACGACAGGAGTTCTGAGCCCCTTTTATTTAGATCTTCATTGATGCAGATAATTGAAACTATATTTGGTTATACTGCAGAGTATAAATCAATATAGTAAAGATTTATTTTTAAAAAGCCTCCAACAGTTGGGAACATTAACTGCTAAACCCTGAAAAGCAGCTATTTCGAGCACACGGGAGGGTTTCCCAGTTGGCTTGCAATGGAGGGCTATCCACTGGACACATATACTTTAAAAAGGAGATTTTCAGATGATGGAATTTGGGTTAACGTGGCCAGTGACAGATCTTAAAAGAGGAATGTTCCAACCTGTCCTGGGTCAAATCTGATTACTCTGTTCATTCATCCTTTGGTTTTGCTATTTACTTATCTCTGTGTTCTCTGTTCTTGTTCTCACAGTGAAGGGGGCTGGTGGAAAGCTATTTCTCTTAGCACTGGTCGAGAGAGTTACATCCCTGGAATATGTGTGGCCAGAGTTTACCATGGGTGAGTACGTTTCTCAAATGGCATCAATTAAGCATGATGCTTATGCTGCTGACTCATAAGGTGGAACAAAGTTTCCAGCATTCATAGTGGAAAGGAAGGCACTGGGTCAAGAAGAGATATTCCTGCTCCCAACCCAGTCAATAAGGAAAGGAGCAACCTTGAGCTAATTTATCTCTTCTGCTCTCTGGGACTCAACTTCTCCCTCAGTAAAATGAAGGAAGTTGGACCTTTCAGCTCTAACATGGTCTTCCTGGCACAGAGTGGTAAACAGCTGGGAAATGTTATCGGAGGGCACAGCACAGTGCAGAGACTAGAAGTCAGTGTGTCTAGGTTCAAATCCTGCCTCTGTCACTTACTGGCTGTGTGCCAGTGAACAAGCTTTTTATGCATCAGTTCCCTTTCCTCACCTGTCAAGTAGAGATCATAACATAGAACGACAGGGATAATAATATATGACAATATGATCAAAATGTAGGGCTGTTAGGAGAATAAGATATAATGATACATGTATAGTCCTTGGAGCAATGCCAAGCATTACAGTAAGCACTCGATAAATATTAGCTATATTCTAATCAAATGCCTATCCAGAAACACACAGAATCCTTACTGCCAAAAATGCTTATGTGCCTTCCTTGAAAAATGGGTAAGACGAACAAGATAAATCTTAGGAAAGTAGGCTCAACCGATGAGAAAATAAGCACCCTGCTTTCTCCTGTAGTCGTGCCTGTGAGGCCTCTGCAGCCTCCTGGGTGGCTTTGGAGTCCTGCACACCTGGGCACAAATCTTTGCTTCCCTCCTTCCATGTGAGGGTCTTGGAAAAGTTGCTTCACCTCCTGGAGTTACGTTATCCTCATCTGTCAAGTTACCGAGGCCAGAAGTTGGCAAGGAAATGCACAGCATATTGGAAATGGAAAAGAAAAGAGGCAGCCACTGATAAACACTAAGTTACTTCTTCACGTCCAGAGGAGGACTCTACGTGCCACACGCTCATCTTGCAAAACAGAGATAACCACCTGAATCCTTTGAAGACTGGAATTCTGCAAGTTTTAGTATTCATGATCTTAAAACTGAATATCAGATGCCATTTCCATGCTTAGGATGATGAAGGTGAACAAAAGTGGAGCAGGAGCTGCCATGCGAGTCACGTTCTGAAAGAGATGGGAATCACATGACTCTTCTACATCAGTTGCTCGCCCTGGAGCTGTTCATTCATTAGCAAGCACCCATCAACGCCTTCATGCTGAAGATATGGGGCTGCAGCTGGTGGGAGCTGGGGGTAGTGAAGACCCAGGAGGAGTGACATAATTATGACCCTATGAGGCTACCAATCTAATAGAGGTGATCACATCCCTTAACATATCAAATAGGAAGAGCAGGGCTGGGCACAGTGGCTCACGCCTATAATCCCAGCACTTTGGAAGTCTGAGGCGGGTAGATGGCTTTGAGGTCAAGAGTTCAAGACTAGCCCAGCCAACATGGTGAATCCCCATTTCTAATAAAAATACAAAAAATAGCCGGATGTGGTGGTGCATGCCTGTAATCCCAGCTACTTGGGAGGCTGAGGCAGAAGAATCACTTGAACCTGGAAGGTGGAGGATGCAGTGAGCCAAGATCACACCACTGTTCTCTAGCCTGGGTGACAGAGCAGGACTCCATTAAAAAAACACACACACACACACACACAAATAAAAGGAAGAGCAGCAGTGAAGTATGGTGGTTATGGAATTGGATGTCCCAGAAAAATGCATTCTAATTTTAACTCTATCAACTGCTGACATGGTATCTTGAGCAAATTACTTAATCACTGGAACCCTTAGTATTCTTGTCTGTGAAAGAGAGATAATGCTACCTGTCTTAGTGGGTGGAGATGAGGATTAGCTTTCAAGTGCTTAGTATGGTGGGAGGCCCATTCCCGCCTTTCCTGGGGGAGGGCTTGTTCCGGATCCTAACGGCTGTCTTCCTCCTTTCCAGCTGGCTGTTTGAGGGTCTGGGCAGAGACAAGGCCGAGGAGCTGCTGCAGCTGCCAGACACAAAGGTCGGCTCCTTCATGATCAGGGAGAGTGAGACCAAGAAAGGTGAGTGGCCCCCAACTCATCTTTCCCCGTCTGGGGCAGACAAGCATGTTTTGTTCCCGGCTGACTCATTATACGGCTTCATTTTCCTTCCTCCTACGTCCATGCAAATCGATCCGATGTAGTTAAGCTCCCTGCAGCCCACACGCTGCTGGGGAGGCCAGTGGAGAAGCAAGGAGACTAGAGACAGGCAGTGGGGAGCCGGCTGGGCACGGCCACGGGCCTGGCCAACATCAGGCCTGATGGCTCCTGCTGGAAATTTTTCCAGCAACTGAGAACAAAACTGAATGCAGTGTGTAGGCAGATGCTGGGCAGATAGAACATAGCCTTTGGTACAAGCCTGGTCTGTGCTGTCAAGCTCTGTGACTGATTTGTCTGAACTCAGTGTTCTCATCTGTGAAATGGAGAGAACACCCCTCCCTTGTAAGATTGTAGTGAAATTCAAATGTAATAATGTTTGTGTTGCTCTTGCTGCACAGAGAGTCCCGATGTCAGTTTCTTCTGTGCTCTGTAACTAAGTCAGACAGCTCAGAGAATCAGATGTGTTCTCACACACAGTCACCATCCTCTCTAGCATTACAATTTCCTTGCATCATATGCATTAAGTACCTCGTAAAAACATAAATAGAGTGAGCTCTTTGTCACGATTCAAAGCAAGGGTCCCAAGTTCCAATTTTAGCCTTACAAATTACTAAGTTACCACTTCTCTCTCTAAGCCTCGGCCCCCTGATCTAGACCATGAGATTCACAGTAGGAGAGTACCGTGTTTATTCCCAAATACTTCACAGCTAGGATTTTCCCAGACTAAATAATAATAATAGCTTTTTTAAAATTCAGAAGGTATCTTCAAGTTCTTGGCTTGCTTCTTGTACATTCAGTATCAAATAAGAGAAAACACACTATCTGAGAGTACTTTCCAGCACCTAATAAGTGCCAAAGCCACCTGGTGCTAGAGTCCTTCACCAAAATGGGCACTAGCCTTGCTTTCAGAAAGCAGGGACCCCATATACATGATTAAAAAAAATCCAAGATCAACTTTTCTCTATAAAAACCAAACATGCTGGGGGACAGAAAGATCAATGCAAAAGCAAAACATCCTGTGCCTGTCCTAGAGGTCCCCGGAGGCAGGATGGCCCGACTCAGAAAGAAACTTCTAAACTGGCCTGGCCAAACGGAGGAAGAACCCAGGGTGGGTGCCGCAGCTCATCTAAAAATAAAGATGTCATCAGGCAGATGTGCCGTCGTGCTGGAGCTGGGTGGGTGTGGCAGGCCCACCGTGGGTATGCAAAGCTCTGACAATGTTTTACTTGCTACCCTCGGTCTGCTTACCACACTCCCAGTTCCGCTGACCTTACGGGAAGGCTCACGCTGGGTTGACTCATGGCAGGCCTGGAGCACTGTGAGGGATGTGCTGAGGATAAGGTTCACACCCCAGAGTGGCATTCCCAAGCCCCATGCCTCTGGCCATATCTCACAGGGGCTCTAGGCCTCTGTTTTCCCGTCTTTAAAATAATTGGGGGCAATACCTCCTATGATCTTTCTGAGAATTAACAGATTTCTTGGCCATTGCTTAGCCCTGCCCAGCAGAGATAGCAAAGAATCAATCAGCTCCCTTTCTCCTCTGTCTCTTGGGTGTTTTTTACTCCTGGAACCCCAGAAGATAGAGCAAGAGAGGACCCTGAAACATGGCCTACATCCAATTCTCTCATTTTGCACTTGGGGAAATCGAGGCACATGCCCGCGGCTCTACTCTTACCAACCCATACCAGGTCATTGCTCTAACGAGGCTCAAAGAGCAATAACCCGCCTTTCACGTGGTTCTTACGGATACCCAGAAAGATGACTCAACTGCTCCAAATTTCTGAGAAGACTAAGCATAAGTCAGAGAGAGTACAGACAAAGAAACAGGGGGCATAACTGCAAGGACCTGTTCAAATGTGTGCTGTGGCAGCGCTGGTGGGACAGGGGCTGAAAAACAGTAGGGATGACATCTTGGAGTGTACTCGGGAAGGAATCAAAAACCACCACAGATCCTGGAGCTCCAAGTTGCAACCACGCTACAGTCATTCCATTTGGCCTTAGGATGTGGAAGCACCCCAGTGTGTTTGCCTCAAAAAGCAAAGAGGACGAGGCCGGGCACGGTAGCTCAGGCCTGTAATCCCAGCACTTTGGGAGGCCGAGGTGGGTGGATCACTTGAGTCCAGGAGTTCAAGACCAGCCTGGGCAATGTAGCAAAACCCCATCTCTACAAAAAATACAAAAATTAGCCGGGCATAGTGGCGCATGCCTGTAGTCCCAGCTACTCCAGAGGCTGAGGTGGGAGGATCCCTTGAGCCCAGGAGATGGCGGTTGCAGTGAGCTGAGATTGCGCCACTGCACTCCAGTCTGGGTGACAGAGCAAGACCCAGACTCAAAAAAAAAAAAAAAAAAAAAAAAAAACAGACAAGAGGATGAAACCTGTGCTCCTAAAAATCTGTAAGGACCATATGATGAACACATCTTGTTTGACATAATAATACACTCCTGCAGTCTCTAACAGGAAGCAACATCTAAACAGAGAAGGGTCTAGTGGAAGGAAGGGCTGCGTCCTAGCATCACTGTTGTATCCCAAGGGTGGGCAGGTATCCCTGCCTCAGTGGTGGTGGGCTGGTTAGCTGCGTGCCTTGGGGTGAGGACAGGTGGAATCCACTGACTTTTCCTCCACCTCCTGCAGGGTTTTACTCACTGTCGGTGAGACACAGGCAGGTAAAGCATTACCGCATTTTCCGCCTGCCCAACAACTGGTACTACATTTCCCCGAGGCTCACCTTCCAGTGCCTGGAGGACCTGGTGAACCACTATTCTGGTAAGAGACATTCAATCTGGAGCGACTGTGATGGTGGAACCCCTCTTAGCTAATTGCTCTGCAGCACTATCTGTCTGGAATGCAGAGGGGTCGCCAATAAATGCAGTGATTTACTCTTGCTTTCTGCCCATGCTGCCTTCGTGATATGCTCTCTTGTTAATTCAGACTGTAAATTTCAGACTGAAACAGATTGCTTGCGCATGCTGCCTTAATAAGCAAAATGCAGCTAATCTCAAATTTGCCCTCTCTTGACCTGTGCATTCAACAAGTTAGGGTGTGCCTAGATTCACAACTGCAACCAGCTTGCACATCCTTAAGTGGGCCATACATATTCCAGCCTCTGGGGCTCTGTTCTAGAGTACCACTCATTCTCCCTTTTCTGCTTGTCAAAATCCTCATTGGCCTTCAAGGCCAACACGAATCGCCTCTGCGATGAAGCTGTAGGACTTAGCAGTGGCTGCCTGTCTTCGCTGTGCTCAGAGCATGCCAAGGGTTTCTTTCCCAGCCCGATCATGCTCCCGCGTGGCCTGGTTAATTGTGTGCTAGGCTGTGTTCCTCAACAGGCTCCCAAAGACTAGGAATTACATTTAACTCATTTTTGTGCCCGTCACAGACCCAGGAGAGAGGTCTGAATTCTCCCCGGCTGATAAGATGGGGAGCATCCACTGAGATAAAGGAAGCATCATGTGGTGTTGGTGGCTGGAAGAGTGTAGGATACTGCCACAGAGAGAAAGTTGAGTTACACTGTGAAAGGCCCAAACATCAGCTCAGGAGTCAGAACTTTACCCTACAGAAAAGGGAGAAATTGTGAACAGTTGGCTAAATGCTAAATTTCCAAAAACCAGCTCTGGAAGCTCTGTTTCTATCCCAGATCCACTCAGTGTTAGCTGGGCAGCCTGAGGCTGGCTGTTTGTGTCTCACTTTCTTCATCTGTGCCAGGCAGACACGAATAGTTCTCCCTCCCAAGGACACCATGAGGGTCCACAGAGTCAGTTCATGGAAAGTGGGGAGGGTGCCTGGCTCATAACCATGAGCTTCCATTAAATACCAGCCACTTTTACCCAGCAGAACATCAGCGTCCTTCCCACTTACTCGCATATTGCATGGAGGAAAGGAAGAGGTTGCTTTTGCTTTGACAGCATCTTCTCCCTTCTGGGTTCAGGATACTTGACCTCACATGCTTGGGGCAACTTTGTTGGCATTCTCTTGTATATGTGGTCTTGAACTGAGCAAGCAAAGTGCATTTCAAGTAGAAACAGGTCCACAGGACTTTGGTTATCACAGCTGGCCCATGAGAAGCAGCAGGGCATGAAGCAGAAATGGCTGCTCAGGAGAGGGAGGTCCAAGCTCAGATCTGCACCTTGTGAGGCCTTGGGCAAAGTCAGCCACCCCTCAGAACCTGGGGTCCCCATTTATGGGAGGTGAGTGAATACAGTCTCCTAGCAGGTGACTGAATAAATATTAAACACGATCGTTCATGTAGCGTGTTCAGCATAGCCTACCAAAGAGCAGATGCAAAATAAATAACACATATTACTTGTGATATCTGAAAACTGAGCAGCCAGGTAAAACCGAAAGAGGAAGGGAGTCCTGGAAACAGCCAACTTATATTGGTTGTAAGAAAAGGTTGGTTGTGGTATTTGGCTTTTAATAACAACCATCGGAGGGGGTGTGGAGACCATAAGTTTTGCATAGACAAAAGCAAACATGAGAAGGATGCTGTCCTAGCAAAGCTTCTAGGGACCATGAGGCCATGAGGCTACCAGGCTACCCAAATCTACTCGCCGCTGCTTAACCATGGGGGATATCTCACCCCAGTGCAGCACTGGCGTCTTCCCACGGTATGTTCCTGGTCATCGAACCACTCAATGGATTACAGTCATCTGTTCACCTCTGTGAATAACTGAAAAGGTGTAAAAACCCGAAGTGCTTCCTATGCCCCATTGAGAATCCCCAAGTGGAAGCCACATGGCCACTTTTATCTCCACTGGATTCATTCTAAAGACATGGGCTGGGCACGGTGGCTCACGCCTGTAATTCCAGGACTTTGGGAGGCTGAGGTGGGCGGATCACCCGAGGTCAGGAGTTTGAGGCTAGTCTGACCAACATGGTGAAACCCCGTCTCTGCTAAAAATACAAAAATTAGCCACGTGTGGTTGCAGGCACCTGTAATCCCAACTATTTGGAAGGCTGAGGCAGGAAAATCGCTTGAACCCGGGAGGCAGAGGTTGCAGTGAGCCAAGATTGCGCCACTGCACTCCAGTCTGGGCAACAGAGCAAGACTCTGTCTCACAGAAAAAAAAAAAAAAAAAGACACAGAATGAGAGGAATTGTGCACCAGGGGTTTGAATAGACATCTAACAAGAGGTTGCTTATAATTTTTATCATGATGCCTTTAGGCAAATTACTTGGCATCTTGGAGGTTCAGTTTTTTCATTTGCAACATGGGGATTAAAATGCAATAATCTTCACAGGATTGCTGCTAGTCCAATTGAAAAAAAAAAAAGATGCATGTGAAAAATGTGGCACCTAAAGTACACCATGCACGGTGGTTACTGGGAGAACAGAGTGCGTGGGGCATAAATGAATTCTAAAATATGGCTGGGAAAATCAAGGGCTAGGGACCTTAAGGGTCTAGGAACCCTTGAATATAGAGGTGTTGGACCCTAAAGGTGCAGAGGAATGTGCATTCTGATGAGCCATGTAGACATGGGTGAAATAGACCAGTGTGTCTGAACCCAAGGGACAGCTGGAGGATGTCTTTCTTCTCTATTTAAGAGGCAATGAGTTGCTTTTACAATGAGTCAATAAGATTGATTTTGGTCACATTTCTATGGCCCTGAGTAAGTTACTTCACCTTGGGATGCTCAGTTTTTCCCTCCCCAAAATGGGTATAAAAACACTGATGGCCGCGTGTGGTGGCTCACGCCTGTAATCTCAGCACTTCGGGAGGCCGAGGTGGGTGGATCACGAGGTCAGGAGATTGAAACCATCCCGGCCAATGTGGTGAAACCCCGTCTCTACTAAAAATAAAAAAAGTTAGCCAGGCATGGTGGCATGTGCCTGTAATCCCAGCTACTTGGGAGGCTGAGGCAGGAGAATCGCTTGAATATGGGAGGCGGAGGTTGCAATGAGCCAAGATTGCGCCATTGCACTCCAGCCTGGCGACAGAGCAAGACTCCGTCTGTAAAAAAATAAATACATAAAATAAAATAAAATAAAATAAAAAACAATACTGACCACACAAGTTGATCAAGGCCTCAATGAGATCCAGGGGCTGAGGCTAGCTCAGTGCTGGGCTCATATTATGTGCTTATGAGTGGTGGTTCTTTTGCTCTTTGTCAAAATGTATTTTTCACGCTGAGTATTAACCTGTCTAAGGAAGGACACTCACGGAGTGTCCCCTGCCTGTGCTGCACACTGCAGCTGATCTCTCCAGCCTCTGCATCTGGCTTCATCTTCCTCGCCTCATAACCTGGGAGGTCGTTTCCATTTCCAACCCATGACAGGTCATTATTTTAGATTTCCATCCAATTAAATCTCCCCCTAAATTCATGGTCTCACCTCCCATTTCTCCAAGGGCACCTGTGTGGGTGGACATTGGAGTTCACAGTTGAAGTCAGACTGAAAACCATGTAACAGGGTCTTCCTGGCCTGCCTGCCCTGTGACAGGCTGCGTGTGCTTCTTCCGCTACAAATTCCTTTTGTTCTTTGGCAAGGACGCCCCAGAGAGCACTCCATAAATCAGATGGGAAGTGGGGCCTGTCAGAGGGGTGATGTGCTTTCTAAAACCTGGTGGTGGATTGGCTCTGAGGCCAGGGGTGGCTTAGTCCTGCTGGAGGCCAGTGGCACCTCACCCCCTTGGCCACATCATCTGTGCCACCCGGGGCACAGAAGCACTGGGGTTTTGAGCCTGAACAAGACTACACAGAATTTCCTCAATCTCTAAGATGGCTGAGTACAGCAGAATCAAGTCTTTCTCATGATAACATGGGCTAGGGAGAAGCCTTCCAAGAGAAAGAAGCTACCTTGTAATGTACCTGGAAAGACGGGGGACCCTGAGAGTCAGACGTTTTACAGAGAGATTTTCATACAAGGGAAAAAAGAAACAGGTTTATTTAATTTTTATTCTTTTTGTGCATGAGCCTCTAGAGTGAAAGAGAGATTATTTTCATTCTTTGTCTGCATTCTCTCTTTGCCCTCTTTATCTTTGTTTTCTCTTCCCTCCCTTCCTGTGTCTTCTACTTTTTGTGCTATTTTCACCTCCTCCTCTTCCTCCTTCTCCCTCTCACCTTTGCTTTTCCTCCTCGCCCTCTTTCATTCCTCCTCTGCTCCCTCCCTCCTTTCCTTCCTTCTTTCATTGTTTCTTTTATCTTTCCTCCTAGAGGTGTATTTAGTCCACCTGTGCCATTCTAAATGCACAATTGTGGGGATCAGTATTGTACGCAGCCCCATTCTCACACCCTGTGAGGTCAATGGATTGGGCCTTCGTGGGAAACCCTGGAAGTCTGCGGCCTCTGCAGGCACTCACTTGTTCCCTCATTTCTTTCATTCTGCAGTTGAGGAAAGGAAAGTTCAGAGAAGTTCCTGGTAATTTACGATCCGGGTAAAGCTAAAATTCAAATTCAAGCTTGGTTGATACTGGATCTTAAACCTCTCTCTCTGCCCGTGCCCGGCTAAGTGCAGAGGATACCAGGGCACGCTTACATTTCTCAAACAGTTGGGCACACGGCTTTCAGCACTGCCACTACCTACCATGCCCCTTTGAAATCTCAGGTCCAGTTTCCCATGGCAACAGCCAGGGAGCTGCACTGGTGGGTGTCTCAGGCCCGAACCCCACACTGGCTGAGGCATATCCAGGGTCCCTGACCGGCTGTCTGCTTCCTCCTCAGAGGTGGCTGATGGCCTGTGCTGTGTGCTCACCACACCCTGCCTGACACAAAGCACGGCTGCCCCAGCAGTGAGGGCCTCCAACTCACCTGTCACCTTGCGTCAGAAGACCGTGGACTGGAGGAGAATGTCCAGGTGAGTATGGGGTGTGTGTGTGTGTGTGTGTGTGTGTGTGTGTGTGCATGCAAGTGCTCCGTGAACATGTGAGCACAAAACAGTATGTGTGCCTAGTACATGAAAACCATGGCCAGGGTCATCTAGCCCTGCTGAGACTAGAGGGTGAGCATCCCACACAAGTGTAGACCAAGGGAATCCCTGGGTGCAGGGGCAGCCTCAGGCCTCACGATGTGTGTGGCAGCTCCCCATGTTTCTGCAAACATTTACTGAGTCCTTATTCTATGCTAGCAGTATACATTCTAGCTGAAATATACCACTTTTCTTTTTCTGATTGTTAGGATACTAGAAACTAACACATCCTGTGTAAATTTAATATTATTTAAAATCTACTCACAAAGCTTAAACACATCAGCAGAATCCTATAGTGACTTCTTTGTTTTTTCTAAGAGAAAAAAAAATTTCATGGATTTGTTCTGTTTATTCCATTGTCAGCCTGTGAATTTTAAAGGATATCTGTAGTTCGGGATTTGTGGGTTATCTTAATAATTCAGTATCAATCCAGACATCCCACCGGCAAATCAAAGAAAATCAGAGATCAAAGGTATGCGAGACAGGAAGAAAACTACTCTTTCCTGTAAATAACAAAAGTTAATTTTTACTAAAATTTACAGTTGGAAGTATCAGCCATCCAAGAAAAGAGCGGTTCAGATGGGTTAAGTGATTTGTACAAGATCCCTTGGCCCACAAATGTAAGAACCAGAATTAAAATAATGGGTTAGAATAATTGCAGTTAGAGTAGTTAGAATAATAGGTAAGGGTAATAATTAGAATAAGTTAGGGCCAGGCACGGTGTCTCATGCCTGTAACCCCAGCACTTTGGGAAGCCAAAGTGGGCAGATCACCTGAAGTCAGGAGTTTGAGCCCAGCCTGGCCAACATGGTGAAACCCTGTCTCTACTCAAAATACAAAAAAGTAGCTGGGTGTGGTGGTGGATGCTTGTAATCCCAGCTACTCAGGAGGCTGAGGCGGGAGAATCACTTGAGACAGGGAGGCGGAGGTTGCAGTGAGCAGAGATTGCACCACTGCATTCCAGCCTGGGCAACAGAGCGAGACTCTATCTTAAAATAAATAAATAAAAATTATAATAAGTTAGAGAAATAGTCACCAGGATTTTTGTTTTTCTTTTCCTGCTGTTCTCATTTTCTTGCCCTTTATCCCCTCCTCTCTCTGTGACTCTCTTTTTTCCCTTTCTCTGCCCCCTTTTCTTCTGACCAACAGACTGCATGAGAACCCTGAGGGAACAGAGAACCCACTTGGGGTAGACGAATCCCTTTTCAGCTATGGCCTTCGAGAGAGCATAGCCTCTTACCTGTCCCTGACAAGTGAGGACAACACCTCCTTTGATCGAAAGAAGAAAAGTGTCTCCCTGATGTACAGTGGCAGCAAGAGAAAGAGCTCATTCTTCTCATCACCACCTTACTTTGAGGACTAGCCAAGAACAGACACAATGGTTCATGCCCAAAAGGAACAGAAGTTCCAACTATTGCCTGGGATCTTGCAAAAAGCAAGGTTCCCTGATCCCCGGGAACCTCACATATTTTAAAAGCCAAGAGAAGCCACACGGAGACTCAAATTCACATCTTCTCTATCCACATCGTGACCAAAGGAACCCCCTCGCCCCCCGGTGTCTGATCAGGGCTGTGGCATCACGAAACATTGGATCATGACATGTCAGGCGATGCTTGGAAAAGCCCAGCATGTATGTATGCACACATTGTGTGTGTGGGAAGGACAAAGCCACTCGCACAAGAAAGTGCACCAGGACTGTTCTCCAAGGAACTGTACCTGTCCAGATAGTACTCTGAGGTCATTGGAGAGAACTTCTGCATGGGCAAGCCTGAGAGGGAGAGGAAACAAAAGCTGTGGCCTGGCAGAAGGTCTGGGTTTGCAGATGGGTGCCCTGAATGGAACTACTTTAACCAATCCATAGGGACCTCTGGTATGATTTCCTCTCTTTTTAAAGGAACTTCGTGACACTAAACATTAGCCCAAAGGACTTCTTAGCCTTCAAATGGGAGATACCTTTGGCCTGCTCCCACACCAAAGCCATGTGGGTGGAAGTCAGATGGCCCCCTGATTCTGCAGAGGGCCAGAAGAATGAGAGGAAGGCTGCTGGCAGGGAAATCAAGGGGACGAGCCTAGAACAGCACCAGCTTCCCTGATGTCTGCAGTCACGGCTTTGCAGCGCAGACAGAGCTTCTCTGAGATGCTGGGATTCTTGTCTGTATGAATGCATCAACTATTCATTTATTGCCTGAATAGGCATTGCATTAAGTCCTGTGTAAGGTGTCAGGCAAGCCAAAAAAAAAAAAAAAAAAAAAAGATGCATAAGTCCCAACCCCCAACAGAGGTGTTCACAGTGTAGACAGGGAAAAAAAAATGTATAAACAAATGTGTAAAAAGAGAAATCAGCTCATGGCTTAGGATGGAATTGGAGACAGGTGAGAGACACTCAGGAGCTCATTTTCCAGCTGCTCTTCAGAGTGGAAGGGCTGGCTGGATCGGGTAGGTAAGAATAGCTGGATTTTTTTTTTTTTAAGAAATGGACGCAGTCTAAAGAATTAACTCACGCAGTACTTTATTCTAAGAAGGGTCTGGCATCCATATGAGGAAAAATGCTGAACTCCAGGAAAGATGGGGAGTTCAAGTGGATTAATGATGTCACGCATAATTTTAAGAGACAAGGGAGAAAACACAATGTATAGCCAGAGAAGGAGAAGCTGCCATCCAAATCCTGCTAGGAAAAGAGTGGGCTGCAGATGAATCTATGACTCATGTTTCCCGGTTTCAAAGGGATTCTGGGGAAGGAGGGGAACATGCTTGCAGTACCTCTCCCTGTCTGTCTGCTCACATAAGCATTCCGTCCATCTGAGCTCATCGTGCTAGTGGTATGTATATGTGCAGTTACACGACTTTCTGTATCATAGATTCCAGTGTGTTTATACAAGGAGACATCTGTGGTTTCCCCAACAATTCCAAAAGGCTATTTCAAAGGAACCAGCCAACGTGCGAGAAATGAATGTAACACTGTGGATATTGACTTCCCGCATAAGGCAGGTGACCCCCTGAACTCCAGATGTCTGCACAGCATCTTATGTTCTTATGTATTGTTTTCTGTTGTGAAGAATGTGATTGGAATGTTTGGGGAGCACCAGAGGGATTTCTAAATGGGAAGCATTACACTTTGCTAAATCATGTATTTATTCCTGATTAAAATAAACCTAATAAATATTTAACCTTTAGCACATAGGGAGAGTTTCTGGGTTGAGGGGGATAGGTGCTTCATTCAGAAGCTCTGAGGGTTTCAAATTCTCAAATAAATGTACAACTAGAGAGAGAGGAGCAAAGATCACCCAGAGAAACCTGGTGCCAGTTAGCAGCTCAGCATCTTCTTTAGGTGTGGCCTTAAGAAAAACCAGAGTGTATGACTCTGGGGGGTGTCTCATGAAACTTGAAGATGGGTTTAAGGGATTGAAGGAAAGACCAAATTCTGAACGATTGTTATAAAAACGTCTCGCCTAGATTTTCTGCACATTACTTGTGATAGCTGTGCTATTCATTCTTCCAAGAATTTCTTTCTGCAGATATTTCTGGACACCTACTAAATAGACACTGCTCAGGGACTGGGGCTGTAGCAATGAAAACCAGATGAGGTCTCTGATATCATGGAGTTTGACATCATAAATAAACAAGATGCTTGGTAATGATGGTGAGGGCAGGCTCCAAGCAGTCACCTGGCAGGCAGGGCATCCTTCAGGTCCAGGCTTAGGAAAGGCCTCCAAGCAGAGGCAATGTTTGGGCTGAGGCCTGAAAGGTGAGCAGCAAACAGCCATGTAAAGATCTAGGAAGTGTATGGAGTCCGCAGGAATAATGGGGCAATTCCTGCAGGCAGGAGGAGCAAGACTGCATGCTGAAGGAGCTAAAAGAAGGCAGGGTGGCCAGACTGAGGGAGCTAGGGAAGCATGGAATGTGAGTAGGAGGTATCAGGAAGGTCCTGCAGGGCCCTAGAGGGTAGGGGGTGGCATAGGGTCAGTTCTAGGAGACATGAGGAGCCACTGAAAGGATCCAAGTTGGGATAAGATCATTTCACTGATATGTCTGAAAGATCATGCTGTGTGGAGGACACATTTTTAAAATTCCAGCATTGTCTATTGACACACAAAATTTGAAAATAAATGGGCAAAAAATTTTAATGCAAAATTAAAATTTTAATGCAAAAATTTTTAATGCAAAAATGAATGAAAGGAAAACCTGTGGTCCCATTTTTTAGACAAAATGGGACAAGGTGAAAATAAATTACATAATGGCAAATAGAGATGTGCAAAAGGAACAATATATTAAGAAGAAAAAAATGATTGCAACCTATGTTAATGGGATGATATAGTTTCAGAATATATTAAGCAACTGCAACAGGGACAAATAGATAAATCAATAATTTTACTTGGAGATTTTAACATACAAATCTCAGAAACTAATTCAGTAAGCAAAGATAAGTAAATACATAAATAGGTAGATAGATTTTGATAACACTGTATAACTTTTCTGCCAACAAATGGATAATGTATTAGGTCACAGAGAAAGTACTAATGAATTTCAGAGTCAGCATCTTCCAACTCATGCTCTACGATAATAAAGTAATAAAATTGGAAATCAAATTCCAAAGTGATGAATAAAAATTTAAAAATTCTAGGGATCTAAAGTCTAAAAAAAATCCTTAGGTTAAGAAGAAAATAATGCAACAAATAAAACATTATAAATAAATGACAGATTGCTACTTTTCAAAATTGCATGGCTGTAGCTGATAAAATAGTCAAAAGGTAAATTATTGCTTGAAATAAATTGATCAAGAAACAAAGAATGAAAGCAATGAGTTTAACTTTCAACTTAAGAAGCTAAAGGAACAATAGATAGCCAAAGAAACGAGAAGGTAGAAGATAATATAAGACATCAGTGAAACAGACTTCTGAAAACACAGCCATAGAGAAGATTTTAAAAAAGCAAAACATTGTTTAAGTAGACTAATGTGATAAAAATATGAACAAGCATGATCAAGAAAGGTGATGAAGAACAAAAGCAAATCAAATGCAGTTCTGCTTGTAACCATACCTGAAAAGGGATTGTGCCCCTTGCCAGCAAAGCCCTAAGATGGCAGGTGTGGTCCTCCTTCCTCTCCATCCCTTCCCTACTATCTGGAACACCTGGCAGCCTAAACTCAACCATGCAGATGAGGAAGGCCTTAAGAAATAGCAGAGAAATATCTAGAAGAAACCAGAGCCCTGAGTGATCCAGAGACACCTGGACTGCCCACCTTGGCAGATGTTATGAGAGAGAGAGAAAGAAAAAAAAAAAAAAAAAAAGGAACTTATTTATCCACTAAACTGCTTTAGTACTGGGTCTCCTTCTTATATCAACTGAGCATTTTGCTTCAATAGGTATAGAAATAAACCTGCCATTATTTGCAGAATAATGAGGAAACTTCATAGAAAACCCAAAGAAACCGACAGGCAAAGCATTAGACATGACAAAACAGCTCAGCAAATTGCTGAATCCACTTATTTCCTAACACTAGTATTTTCAACCTGGAAAATACAATAGAAAAGAAGACAGCATCAACAATACCAACCAGATGACGGTATGTGTGGGAACTTACCTCACAATGATTTCACAAAATTTTATTAAAAAATGTTCAAAACTGCATGAAAGACCTAACAAGGCAAAAATACTACGTGTAATACACGGTTACAGTGTTTACCTGATTCGTAAATGCCAGGCTTAACATCATTACAATGTAGATTTTTTTTTTTCTGAAATTAATGACCAAGTCTATGTCACTCAAACTCCCAGCAAAAATATTAGAATAAAACCTCAATAAACTTATTCTAAGATATATACAGAAGCATCAAAACTCATGAATATCTTGGTGAATTCTGAATAGACAAGCATAGCATGCTCATACTATGAGATATACTGCAAAAACAATAGAGAACAGTGTTCTGAGCCCAAACCACCATCTCTCTCATCACTTTAGTGGAACTCAGCACTGTCTCTGAACCAAGTGCTGTGCTAAGTGTTAAGGAAACACTAAAAGCATGAAACTCATATAAGTTTTCAAGCACCTAGTCATAGTAGAATTGGGATGAGAGATGTTAGAAAAATAACAAGCATGTAAAATAAGGCACAGTTCCTAAGAATTGCTACATATAAGTGTTTTCACTAAGGTGAGATTCTTGCCTTCTATTTCAAGAGACGAGGAAAGGCTTGGAGGCTTCACTTCAGCTGAGTCCTGAAGGACAGCAGGAACTTTCCAGGTGGATACTGGATATGCTGAACAAAGAACAGAGACAAAAAGGCCTGGAGGAAGGCACGGCATTTTCTCAAAGGGGTGATAGTTAGTGAGCCTGGAGTGTAGGATTCATGCAGGATTCATGCAGGAATGGAGTAAAAAACAAGACCAGAAAATTTAGCTCGAGGCTGATTCCTGAGGCCAGGAGTTCACCCTGAGGAATGCACACTTGGGGCGCTGTCATAGGACAGCAAGGGAAATGTTTTCTGGGTCCGTGAATCATACCACAGAGGACATGACTTCCCTGTCTTAAGACTGTGCAGGGACAGAGCCACAGGATGCATGTTTGCAACAAGTCATCCTTCATCCTCCAACCCAGCCCCAGAACGGGTGAAATACCCTAGGACATACTTCTGTCTGGAGTTGCCTTCCCTTGGCAAGGGAAGAGGGAAGAAGGAGCTTGATTTCTTGAGTTCCTATGTTGTGCAGGACACTTTGCAAACCATCAGTCCTGACAATATCTCGAGACCTTGGGAAACAGAATTCATCACACTGATTTAATTTGATACGTGAAGAATATAAGGTGAAGTGTTTTCTCCAAGACTAGGATCTTCATGCAGGCCTATCTGATCTTAGGCTTCGGCTCTTTATCTTACACCTTGAGACCCCAGGAGAGTCCCAAATTCCTGGAGAGGCAGCATCATAGAGTGGGGAAACACAGGACTTGGCTTTAGGTTCTAGTCCTTAACACAGCTTCTTCCTTGCTGTGTGTTCTTTGGTAGGTCACTAAATCTCTCTGAACCTCAGATTTCTTATCTCTAGATTGAAAAATAAAATAAAGTCCCCATGCCAATCAGTCAAGGAGTTGGTAAGATAAGACACTGAAAGTGCTGCGGTCTCAGATGTGCTGAATGAATACAGGTTATTCATTGTCATCACAGGCTTTCCCTTGACCAATGTTTCAACAGTTCTGGCCCCAAGATTTGCAGAGAGACTTAAGATTTTATCCTAGAATAAACTGCCAACTCATATTCATTTCCCCAAACATCTGTTGATAAAGAACACATTTAAGAACTGCTAATATATTGAAGTATTTTAGTTCTCTCAATTCCAAATAATTTCACATGCATCCCAAGGACTGCTGGAAGCAGTTGTAAAAGCTGCTTCCAAATGACTAAAACAGATGGAAGGGTTTATTTTTAAATACACTGCCATTTGTTAAAGCAGATTAGTATTTGAAATTCCCCAAACACCTAAACCCTCAAAAAGAAAAATCTGCTTTCTGAGCCCATTGGAAGGTATTTTTGGCATCTCCTGGGTCCTAATGAGTGTCTGGTTTCTGAAAGGACCCTGGAGAAATCTCTCCAGGATCAATTCAATGCAGGATGGTTTGTTTTCAACACCAGGAACTGAAAGATGTTTGTGCTCAATTCTCCTGTCACTGAGATGGATCAACTTCAGAGGGACAGATTGCAGAAAATTGGAATCAAAGGACAAGACTCACAAGAAAGGGATGGAAGGGAGGGAGCTGGTGTATCCTGTGGGTCCCTGGGCCCCTGAGAGTAACAGCTGAATCCTCCCCCAGTCATCTGCTCATTGCTGCCCCCAAATAATTACAGCACATCCACGGACTCTAAGATGTGCTGTGTGGGGGTGCTCGGGGTCCCATGGAGAGCAAGGCACACCCAGCCCCTGCTCGGCTGGAGCTTGCAGTCTTGTGAGGCAGCAGCTTTGGCACTAAGAGCAATTACTTACTGTTGGAAATCCTGGTAAATGCTGCATAGGAGATGTACAGGCAGCACAAGCCATGTAAAAAGGGCTCAGTTCTAGGCTGAAAAGTCAGGAAGGCTTCTCTAAAGAAAAAGTAGGGAAGGCAAAGAGGGGGATGGGGAAAACTGTTCCATGCAAAGGAAACTGCCTGTATGGGCCAGAACAGAGCATGGACTCCAAGGAACATGAAAG